ACAATCATCCTCTATAGTGCTTGAGATTCATTATTTTTATTATGAACGCCCTCAACTCTGACTGAAATTTCTGCTTTGTGTGTTTGCCACATTGATGGCATCAGCTGTTCTGTACCCCAAAATGAAACAGTGGGTTGTTCTCGATCATAGCAAGAATATAGGTAAGTGGAAAACTGTTAGGGCGTAAGTAATAATTTGGAAGCAAGAACAGCTGCTTAAGAGGATTTCAAGACTGATATGAATTGAAAACTAAAGAGCACGTAAGTCATCTGGCAAGCAGCGGCCCTCCCAGGATTTAGGAGCGAGTCAGTGTTCCGGATCATGACACAGCTGCTATATCACGGAAGCCCGAGAGGACAGAACAGCCTTAAAGAAAATTCATCTTTGCAATGATTAAAGTTTTGATTTGCACTTACCCCTGCAAGATAGTTTTCAGGTGGGGGCTGCTGTGCATTTGGTACTCGGCAAGACACCTGGCGACAGGGGACGCAAACGTGGAGCTTCAACTCACCTTAAGTAAAGCAGGGCTTGCTTTTCTTCTGCCACGTTGGGAGACATATTACTTGTTGTTGTTCCTTTCATAACACTTTTAAGCTTTTCCTATCAGTGTGTGAACATATTTCTTGAGGGACTCTTAGTCCTGCGACAATAAAAAGCTACACTAAACAATACTTTTTTTGGTATCCCACACAGGCAGACAAACAATGAGCTATGGTAGGAAGAGAAGAAGCAGACTTTGGAATCAGGCTGACCTGCATTTCAAATCTAGCCCTTCCACTATCTGGCTCCATGGGGCCTTGACCAAGAGACTTAATCCCTCCAACTGACTCCTTGTTTGTCAAAGAAAGAGAAAAATGTCCACCTTAGAGGGATGCTGGGATGATTCAATGAACTAACACATCTGTAAAGCACTGACTGTGCACAGGGCAGGTGCTCAATGAATGACAAGCTGAGATAGGACTGCCTGCCACGCCTGGAGGCCTGACTCAGTTGTAGGCCTGACTCACTGTCAGTTGATGTTTGCTGTACCTGCCACCTGGACTCCTGGTGAAACGCCAAAAAATGTCCTGATAGCCAAGAACATTTTATTTTGTGGCTGCCACTGGCAGGATAGTTTGGCTTTGTCTTCGATACATTTCAGCAGAGTGACCTCTGCTCCTCTCCCCTTTTTTAAACAGCATATGTAAACCAGTGATTCTTCATGTATTTTTAGTTAGCAATATCCCCATTTTTTCCCTAGAAAACTACATTTATGCACAAATGCATGAAAATTTGCATCAATTTTAGTGGGTTCAATGACCATCTGAAAACCATTCATATGCCTCCCTTTTACAATATCTATGGGTTTTTGTTTAAGAAGTTTCCGCCAACAAAGAATCAAGGATGTTTTATGAATATGTGAGCTCATGAGGATTAGCACCTAGGCAGTGGTATCTATGTTACAATGGAAACTTCACTCTGAGATTCTGGGGCCAGGCCTCACGCAGAGAGGAATCAAGGAACACAAGTCCAGGATATTGATGAAAAGTGTCTGTCAAGAGGAATAATTTTTTTTTTTTTTTAAAGACAGGGTCTTGCTCTGTCACCCAGGCTGCAGTACAGTGGTGCAATCTTGTCTCACTGCAACCTCCACCTCCTGGGTTCAAGTGATTGTCCTGCCTCAGCCTCCCAAGTAGCTGGGATTACAGGCATGAGCCTCCAGCCTGGTCTCTAACTCCTGACCTCAAGTGATTGGCCTGCCTCGGCTTCCCAAAGTGCTGAGATTACAGGTGTGAGCCACTGTGCCCAGCCAAGAGGAATAACTTTTACATGGACCTGGTCAAGGATTTATACATTGCAAAGAAGAAAAACGAGAGTTGAATTAACTTGAGTTAATTCTCAAAAAAAGTCAACTCTAGAAGCTCCTAGTCCCAGCAAAGCTCCCAAGAGAATATATATTCTCACATGCTCTAGGGAATGTAGAAGCCACAAAGGTTTCTAGTAAAAGAGATCCCTGATTAAGGTAGCAACTATTTACACAGCATTTGAGATCCACAAAGTTTAATAGCTACTTTCATTAAGGAGACAAAAACAATGCCATATATTATTTTAAGGGGCCATGGGTCTACTTTGAGTGTGCATATATTATTCACAGTTACCAATCAACTGGCAAAAAGTGTGGCTATACTTGTGGCTTTAAGAAAATAACAATGGATCACCCTGAAATTGGACAGCAAACCTGAAAGAAACAGATATACACTGTCTTTTTTGCCTCTCACACAGCACAATAGCCAAAATGGATAGGTCCTATTTTTAGAGTCTTTGGAGAGACCTTATTTGAATCCTACCTCTGCCATTTATTAAATGACATTGAGTATGCCATTTAACTCATTTAATTATTTGTAAAATATGGATAATAATGTCTACTTCATAGGATTAATATAAGAATTAAAATGAGATAACATAAGAAAAGACCTTGGTATTCAATATATGAAACTTAACCACTGTAACTGTTTTATAGTACGGAAGAGAGAGGTTAAAACTCCTGGCCTGGAGTCAGGCCTTGATTCAAATGCTGCCTTGCTCAACTTAGTAGTCGAGCATAAGTTACTCGACAGCTTACAGCTGTGTCTTAGTTTCCTCATCTGTAAAACAGGATTACAAACAATATCTGCCTCATAAGATTTTTGCGATGTTTAAATAAGTTAACCCCTGTGAAAGTATTTTAAAATTCAATGTCTGGTAAAATGCTCAATATATTTTAGCTATTGTTATCAATCTTTGTTTCATTTGGTGGAACAAAGTGCAGGGAGAATAAAGTAATGAGGAATATATTTGTTTGAAACAGATTTTGAAACAGATGCATGTGACCTTTATATTTGATGCTACATTAAACAACAAAGAAACTGGAGAAAATAGTAACAGGGTGAAGCCTGTGCACACTGTCGTACTAAGAGGGGTACCTAGATTTCAGATTTGGCATGCATTTTACAAGACTGGTCTACATCGCTGTTTTGAGTATGGACAGAGCAGCACCCAGGCTGGATCCTTGACTCAGCACTGTCATCAAAGGCAAGGCTCATTTATTAAACGTAGACTCGGGAAGGAGTGTTTTTTGGAAGCAGAGGGATTGGGAAGAAAGATCCTAGAGCCTTCTCTGAGATATAAAACATGGTTACTGAAATGCCAAGTGACTTCCTCTTACTCTCTTTGAAGTTAGTCAGAAACTGAAGACCATGGATCCCCTTCTGCGGGTCGAGTTTATTTTCTCTGCCCATATCCCTACTGGTGATTTTATCTAAAGCTTTACCAGAAAAACAACCATGCATGTTTTCAGTAGCAAAGAGGGAGGAAAGGCTGGGGGGTGGGGAATGGCTGCAAGACACTCCCTCCTCCTCCAGGGGATTGTGCACAGCATCTCAGAGGTCTGCAGCATCTCAGAGGTCCAAAGAGGAAGGAAGCAAGTGCATTTGTATCTGAGGCCTGAGACAAGGAAGAAAAAGTAAAATGCTGAGATGCTGTGGGCCAGAAACAGGGCTAAGAGCTTGACAGGCTGGAAAATCCTGCATTCGACCCCCAACTGTATTCTAAAAACTTCCCAAGGACAGTGCTAGAAGTTTTAAGAGGAATGGGTCTTGGAGCACTGGATCCTCAGACCTAAACAAATATTCAAGAGTTGGTTCCTATGAAGAGAACATCTGGTGACTTAGTGGCAGGTGCCTCAGATTTTATTTTATTGAGAAATATGATCAAAAGAGCTGAGTTTGGACCCCTTTTTCCACACCAAACCTTTTTGAACAAACTTGGCATTGTAAATAATTAGAGGCAGTATTACATTCTCACCAGTACCCTCAGCTTGCAAATTGCACTGAATATGCTCTTTTCAAATTTACTAACACTGATCATGTATATCTCTCTAATTTCCACAATTAAAGTATGTACACACACTGTTACTCGTATCTGTGTTAATATCAGGCATTGGGTTGTCACCCGCAGTTGCCTATGCCTTACTGTTAGCTGTTCTTTTTGCTAATCTGGAATGTTTGGAAGCTATTTTTCACGACTCTGAACTACAGTAAGTCTACAATGCCCATTTGAAAGGCATTCCAAGCAAGAAAATGGCTGGCTACTTGTTCCTGCCCCTTACCTAGGATTAGTAGAGGCCAGAATAGCGAATATATTCCATCTTCTGCATGTTGTTGAGTCTCTGATCTCCTATGTAATTTCCTGTCCTGATCCTGGGCTTCTGTTTAATCTTATTAGCCAAGGTACAAGTCATGAGACTCCCGCACACTCAGTTCCCATCAGCGCTGCCAGGATCACTGCCCTTATGATGACGACGCACGGATTTATAAGGCCAGAGCGATTCCGAGTGGGAGCAGGGGAAGGAGAGCCAGGCGGCCGGGAAGGTGTTTACCAAAACAACATCCCTCCCCACACTTTTTCCGCAGCAGAGAGAAACTAGCGTCTTCTCGCTTTGAAGTGTTTAATCAATGCCCTGCTGGAAGTGAATTCGCTCCCTCCGACTTGGAGGGTAGTGACAGCATCCAAGAGCTTTGCAGACAGCTCCAAATGTAATCAAACAGCATCCTTTCCCCTCCCTCTGCAGCTTCCCCCCTCCTCCAGGGGCAGTCAGCCGGTGGCCCAGAGGGGTGCAGATTTCAACGCAGCTCGCCCTCTGATCCCCTGGGAAGACTGAGGCGGCGCGCACTGGGACGCCCCTCCCAGCCCACAAGGTGGGCGACCAGGTGGTGACACCACGACCCTTCCTTCTCTGCCCTAGTCTCTCGGCTCTGCCGAGAGCGGAGTGCCACTGGGGGGCTTTGGCCGCCTTCGGGCTCAGCGGAGCACGCAGGAGCCTGGGCAGGGAGCAAGGGCAAGGGTCCGGCTGCGGCTGCAGGGGCCTCGGCTCCAGCCTGGTTCCCAGCGCAGACGACACCGGGGTGGGGAGGGTTGGGGAGGGCTGGGGAGAGGTGCGGAGGCGGCGGTCCGGGGAACGGCGACGTCTCGCTCCAGTTTACCTGGACGCGCTCGGCAGCGGCGGAACTGGGCTCCCCGAGCCGGCGGCGGCTCCTGGGCGGCGGCAGCGTTGGCGCAGGCGACTCCCGAAGGTGGCAGGGCCGGCGCGGGCAGGATGTGCTGTCTCACGCTGCGCCGGCCGCTCCGCTCGCGCTCCTCTGGGAGCTATCACTTCCTCTCTCCCAGAGCCTGACACTGACAGCTCCCCGGAGCACCCAGTCTGCGGGGCTCGCCCCGCCCCCTGCCCACGCCCTCCACGCCCGCGCCCCTCCTGCGGGAGGGCCTCCGCTCCGCGTCTACCGCTCCCGGTCTCGCCAGGAGCGGGTGGCGCCGGTCCGGAGGCTGGTGGCGAGCAGGGGACCTGGAAAGGTCAATTCGTCTATCCCTCTGCCGTCGGCAGGACTTAGACCTAAGTTGCTGCAAAGAGGAGAGCTTCAATATTCTGGGAACTCCTGCTGAAATGCCACCATTGAACAACTTTCACTCCCAGGCAACTACACTTCTAAAGGTCATTTAAATAGAAATAAAGAAAGCTCAGATCTTCCTGTTGTACACAATGATTTATAGGTCTGATTGATCCCGATTTTCCTAGAATAAAAAAGAATTAAGTGTGTGTGTGTGTTGTGTGTGTGTAGCTTGCCTTCACATTGCTTCTTAAAGTCCCAGTTTTTAAAAATCTCGGTAACTAACCAGACGCGGTGGCTCACACTTGTAATTCAAGCACTTTGGGAGGCCTAGGCGGGCGAATCACCTGAGGTCGGGAGTTGGAGACCAGCCTGACCAACATGAAAAAACCCTGTCTCTACTAAAAATACAAAATTAGCCGGGCGTGGTGGCATATGCCTGTAATCCCAGCTACTCGGGAGCCTGAGACAGGAGAATGGTTTGAACCCGGGGGTCGGAGGTTGCGGTGAGCCGACATCCCACCACTGCACTCAAGCCTGGGCAACAAGAGCAAAACTCCGTCTTAGGGAAAAAAAAAAAAAAAAAATCTGGGCAACTATTATTGAACTCTGCAAAAAACAAGCTTGCCACAACAGCTAAGTCATAAGGCCAAAAAATTGAGTTTGGGATGTTAGGGGGTTTAGCACCATTTCATAGATAAGCTTTTCATCATATTTCTTGCACATCTGTGGAGTATTTGTACACGTTAGAATGTAAATTAGTGGAAGGCAGGGACTTTATCTTGTTCACCGCTGTATTCTCAGTATCTAGAACAGCATTCACTATATAATGGGTATTCAGTAAATATGAACTTATTAATTCACAAGTACTACAGTAATTTCAAAATAAATACAGATTCTAGTATGAATACATACTCATCTGTAAATGGCCATCCTTATTCTACTTTGGCCTTCCTGGCTAATATACTGTGATCATCACTATGGCTAGAAAAGAGGTGAAATGTCTAGGTAGAAGGTATTCAAGGTATTCCAGAAGGAAAATTCTATGAAATAAATACTTGCCACTACCATGACTGAATATTTAATACATGTCAATTCTACATACATTTTCCTTTAACTTTTCTATAACATTGTATAGTACATAAATGAATGCCATGCCCCCAGAAAAGGAATTTGAGTCAAAGAAGTTAACTCCTTTGCCCAAGTTCCATAGCCACTGAGTGATCTAGCTGAGATTTGAATTCCCATTCATCTGCAGCTTGTACTTTAACTACTTTTTATTCTGGTCTTTCCAACATGGCATTGTTTTTGTTGTTGTTTTGTTTGTGTTTTATTGTTTTTTCTTTTCTTTTCTTTTTCTTTTTTTCTTTTTTTGAGACAGAGTCTCCCTCTGTTGCCCAGGCTGGAGTGCAGTGGCACAATCTCAGCTCAGTGCAACCTCCACCTCCTGGGTTCAAGCGATTCTCCTTCCTCAGTCTCCTGAGTAGCTAAGAGTACAGGTGTGCACCACCTAGCCCGGCTAATTTTTGTATTTTTAGTAGAGATGGCATTTCTCCATGTTGGCCAGACTGGTCTGGAACTCCTGACCTCAAGTGATCTGCCTGCCTCAGCCTCCCAAAGTGTTGGGATTACAGGTGTGAGCCACCATGCCTGGCCTCAACATGGCATTGTTGAGTGCCCATGAAGTAGGAGGTGGGACTTAGACACTGGACCAAATTGAGGACTAGCTAAAGCAGAGATGGGGCAGAGGCAGCTTTCTGCAAGAGATGCTCCCCAGTGTGCCATGTCAATTTACCATTGCCATGGCAACACCCAGGAGTTACCACTCCCTTCCATAGCAATGACCCCATGACCCAGAAGTTACTACCCTTTCCCTAAAAATTCTGCATAAACCTTGATCTACAAGTAATTAAAGTAGGTACAAATATGACTGCAAAACTGCCCTGAGCTGTTACTCTCTGCCTATGGGGTAGCCTTGCTCTGCAGGAGCAGTCACAGAGCTGTAACACTGCCAGAGCTGTAACACTGCCACTTCAATAAAGCTGTATTTTTCAACCCTACCACTGGCTCACTCTTGAATTCTTTCCTGGGCAAAGCCAAGAACCCTTGTGGGCTAAGCTCCAATTTGGGGGCTCACCTGCACTGCGTCACACAACCTGCAAAGCATTGTGCTTGGAGCTTCACATGATCTAAAAAAGAGAAGAATATAATCCCTCTTCTTGAAGGCGTTAAAATCCAGTTGGAGGTGCAAGGATAGGTAAAGGCAATCTAATTAAAGACAAACAATAAGGAAATAGCCAAAGCAGTACAATGGTTTGGGTGGATGAGATGGAAGGAGGAAATTAGAATTATGACAATAGATAATATTGAAATAGGTAGGGTTTTAGGGTAGAAATGAAGAGCAGAGAATATTTTCGGGCATAAACAAAGCTCCAAAGAAGAGAAAGAACAAAGTGTACTCAGCAAATAGTGAGTGGGCCAGCTTTTTGGAGCATGACAGACTCATGGGAGAGCCAACTGGGGCCCTGAGAAAGGCTGTAGAGCAGATAATGGAGAATCATTAAAGGCCTTTGAGTAGAGAATGACACTTGGGAAGAGTCATCTGGGGCTATCTTTGGGTAGAGGATTGGAACAAGGAAAGGCTTAAGAGACAAGTTTAAAGTTCATTCAAAGAATCCAGGTCAGGATTTAAAAGGCCTGAGTTTGCCAAGTTGTATTCATCACAAATAGTCTGTAATATATGCCCAGAGCAAATTAAGCCCTCAATTTCAAAGTTAGTTATAATATTATCACTTCTCAGTATTTAACCAAAATAATTCAAAGTAGGATTTCAAAGAGATATTTGCACATTCATGTTCAATGCAACATTATTCACAATAGCCAAGAGATGGAAGCAACTCAAATGTTCATGAATAGGTGAATAAGTAAAGAAAATTTGGAATATATATATACATACAGTAAAAGTTTATATTTAAAAAGGAAGAAAATCCTGTTACATGCTACAATGTGGATGAACTTGAAGGACACTATGGTAAGTGAAATAATTCAGTCACAAAAAGTAAAATAGTGTATGATTCCACTCAAATGAAGTATCTAAAGTAGTCAAAATCGTAGAAAAAGAAAGCTCAGGCATACTACAGATATATTGCAAGCTGTTTCACACCACCAAATATCACAATAAAGTGAGTCATACAAATCTTTTTTAGTTCCTAGTGCATATAATAGTTATGTTTACACTATACTGTGACCTATTAAGTGTGCAATGGCATTATGTCTAAAACATGTACATGTCTTAATTTAAAAATACTTTATTGCTAACAAATGCTAATAATCATTTGAGCTTCAGTGTGTTGTAATCTTTTTGCTGGTGGAGGGTCTTGCCTCAATGTTGATGGCTGTTGACTGATCAGGGTGGCTGTTGCTGAAAGTGGGGTAGCTCTGGTAATGTCTCAAAATAAGACAACAATGATATTTGCCTCATCCATTGACTCTTCTTTTCATGAAAGATTTCTCTGTAGCATGTCACGCTCTTTGATAGCATTTAAACAAATTTATGGGCACATAGTAGGTATTTAGTATTTATGAGGTACAGGAGACGCTTTGATACAGGCATGCAGTGTGTGTTTGGTAGCCTTTATCCACAGAACCTTCAAAACTGAAGTGAACTGTGTCAAACCCTGCCACTACTTTATCAACTAAGTTTATGTAATATTCCAAATCCTCTGTCATCATTTCAACAATGTTCAGAGCATTTTCACTAGCAGTAGGTCCCATCTCAATATATCACTTTCTTTGCCCTTCCATAAGAAGCAACTCCTCATTCATTGAAGTTTTATTATGAGATTGCAACAATTCAGTCACATCTTCAGACTCTACTTCTAATTCTAGTTCTCACTATTTTTATTACATCTTCAGTGATTTCCTTCATGTAAATCTTGAGCCCCTCAAAGTCATCCATGAGGGTTTGCATTGGTCCATTTGCATTGATATAAAGGAACCCCGGAGGTTGGGTAATGTATAAAGAAAAGAAGTTTACTGTGGTTCATGGTTCTGCAGGCTGTACAAGAAGCATAGTACTGGCATTTACTTCTGGTGAGGACCTCTGCAACCTTACAGCTATGGCAGAAAGCAAAGGGGGAGCCAATGCTCCCCTTAATCACATGAATAGAGTGGGAGCAAGAGAGAGAAGAAAAGTGCCACACTCTTTTAAACACCAGATCTCCCATGAATTCAGAGTGAGAACTCACCATTACCATGAGGAGGTCACCAAGCCATTAATAAAAGATCTGCCCTCATGATCCAAACACCTCCCACCAGATCCTACCTCCAACATTGCAGATTACAATTTAACATGAGATTTAGAGGGGACAAATAAACAAAACATAACAGGGTTGGAATTAACTTCTTTCAAACTCCTGTTAATGTTGATATTTTCACATCCTTCCATGAGTCACGAATGTTCTTAATGGCATCTAGAATGGTGAATCCTTTCCAGAAAGTTTTCATCTTACTTTGCCCAGATACATCAGAAGAATTCCTGTCTATGACAGCTGTAGCCTTACAAAATATATTTCTTATATAATGTAACTTCAAAGTCAGAATGACTCCTTTATGCATGGGCTGCAGAACAAATGTAGTGTTAGCAGGCATAAAAACAATATTAATCTCCTCATACATCTCATTGGAGCTCTTGGGTGACTAGGTGCATTGTCAATAAGCAGTAATATTTTGAAAAGAATCATTTTTTCTGAGCAGTAGGTCTCAATAGTGGGATCAAAATGTTCAGTGAACCATTGAACCATGTACCGTCATCTAGGCTTAGTTATTCCATTTATGCAGCATAGGCAGAGTGAATTTAGCATAACTCTAGGGACCTTAGTATTTTCAAATGGTAAATGAGCACTGGCTTCCATTTAA